AACCTCGATGAGATAAGAAACTGAGACTTGTCAATATTCACAAAAAAATCATCATTCTAATAAAAATTCATCTTAATCATCCAACAATTAGTATTCTCTTTTCTTCCTCATTTGCTTTATCCCATTTTCTCGAGTTGAAACAAGTTCTTTGGTGAGAGAAAAATTATATCAACAATCTTTACGAAACATTTCTGCTATCAAAAACAGAATATTGATAAAGAACAATCCATGTAAATGTCAACATATTTTGTTTTGATTGTTTATTATCATGGTGAAAGATATTACATCTTGCACATTCACGATTATGTATCAATATCACCATGTATATTGAACAGGGAAACTTTTATAATCTTATCCACAGTATGAGGTTTACTTGTTGTTGTTTATATTGTTGCACATCTTATGAAATACTAAAGCATTAGTTGATATAAAACACTAGTTGATTGGATTGAGATAATGTGTTGATGTTTATACTTGGTCTATTTACATGATCATTGTTATTTTGTCTCTGCAATGACCTCTATCTATTGCAATTACATTGATTTGATACCAAATTATGAGCATATATTCAGTTAATAGCAGTGAAATGATAAAGAATGAGGTATGAAACTCAACAGGAGACAAGAAGAGGAAAAGAAATCGGGAATTCCAGCAGAGAAAGAGCATCAGATTGGCTCAAGTTACATGGTAATACCATTTAAGCCACAAAAGAATTTTGTTCTGGTTAGAGTTTGAAATTTATCATGCAAACTAATATTGCACCAATCAATCGATTAGATTTTGTTATATTGATGTTGAGGTTATTAAAAGTTAATCTACAACCAAACGTATCCAGTAATCGATTAAAAATAATACCGAAAAACTAATGTTACCGTTTTGTTATTTGCTAAACTTAATTTTTATTCATCGCGATTGAAAATTCAATTATTTTCCTAGTAATTTAAATCTTTTTGCTTTAATTGGCGATCTTATAACAAGATAGAATTAAATTATCAGATAAAGAAAGAGAATCAAACAAATGAACGAACTCTGTGGAAAAAAACACGGTGAACTTTTTGTCTCTTTCAGAATCAATCTCATGAAACGGAGAACTTATTTTTCCAGTACCTTGATTTCCAATCAAAATGAAAAGAAAAAGTTTCTATGAATATAACCACGAAAATTGAAATTCGATAACAATTGTTTATTGTTGATTAAGATGAACTGTGAATATTTCATCAATTGAATATTTAAACTCGTTGTTGTGTTGAATCAAATTAGATGCAAAATAATCAGAGTAAAGTTCATAAAGAATACAATTTATTGTATTGAACCATTTTTGTCAGAACTCAGACAGCACTGGAAATGCCGCTTCTCGTAATTCATTGTTAAACTAAGCGTAGTCTCAGATGAATACAATTTAATACACTGTAGTATTAATATTACTCTATTTCTCTTCATTATTGTAATCTTATTAAACTTGATTCTTGATATTGTACTTTCTGAATTTAAATCGCAACAGCAGAGTTTAGATGAGGTTTCATTCAGTTTTCTGAGTTTATTTTGATTAGACAGAAAACTTACTTTACTTTACTTTTAGATTATGATGCTGATTGTCGGTCAAAAATCATCAAGATATCAATCATGCAGATGATCTGAAGAAAGATCATCAATTCGAGTTAACCATTAATCAGTAATTATCAATGATATCTACTAAGTTAATCAATTTTTTCGATACTCTAAGTTGACCATTGATCTTAATTATCAAGAGTGTTGTTAATCTAAATTTTTTTTACGAACTATGGATATCAAGAGTCTCTACCAACTCTCTAACAAAATAAAACCTAAATAGATTGAGAGAGAGAGAGAGAGAGAGAGAGAGAGAGAGAGAGAGAGAGAGAGAGAGACGATAATTGTTACCTTCAATATTGATTAGGTTAGAAAAGGTGAAAATAATATTGTTTACCAAGATAAAATGTTCCTCATCATTCATGAAGCAGCTGAATCTTACCTGAGCTGAAAAACAAGCAGCAAATGTTAACATGGATATTCAATTGTTGCATTTGTAATAATATTAATCTGAATTACATGCAACTGTCTACCAGTATAATCAAGTTTTTTATGATCAAATATCAATTACTATTGTTGAGACTAATTAAAAATGTTTTCATGTATCGACTCATAATTATCAAATGATTAACTTCAATAAACATTCATGAACAATCAAAATCTTGTTTACAATCATATAAAAAAACATGAAATGGTTATATCACTGTTATAATTGAGAATAACTGAATTGATTAATTCATTTTCACCATTTTGATTACTAGAAAACTTGAAATTTAAAATTTATCACATCATGAATTACAAGGAGACTATTGAATTTATATTATAAACATTAGTAGATCAACAAGTTTCACTTGAAACGATTTTATCACCATGATAATACCGATAAGTTTCTCATTGTGGACCAGAGTTTTATCTGTTATTCAACCTTTTCCATTTGATATAACATTCATAGTCTTTTCAATTGTGTCTCAACAAATTCAAATAAAATACAATTCAAAGTCTAATTTATATTCAAGTGGTTCTTTTGTTATTAAAATAATCATAACATAATAGCTGGAGAAAAGTTCTAGACTAAAAACTCATAATTCTAAATCTGATTTATGTTCATTATCACAGGTTCAATTATCATGAATAAAATAACAGTTACCAGTTTCTTGGTCATTTGTAACTTTTTATTATCACCACCACAATCACTTATTAACATGGTAACTTGGTTTCATTTAATATGCAATAAAAAAAAGGCTTGTTAGTATTATAATAAATAAGCATTTTATAAACAATAGAAACTTTTTCTTGGTTCTAGTTTTCAACAATTACATGATAATCAGAAAGGCTGAAATTTCAACTTAATTACAATTAAAGTTTCAAACTATTTGGTCTGTTCTCAGTGAATTAATGTATTCTTGGGATTAAGAGGCAATGTGATGATTTGAATTATCTCATCCTCGAAATTAGCAGAGTAACGAATTTGACAATTAAATTCTTACTTCAAGTGATTTTTTCTATTGGACATTGGAAGTTTATTAATCTAAATTATGAACCATTTAAATCTAGTGGACTCTTCAAATTTAATGTCATGTTGATGACAATTGAGTAAAATTAAACTGACTTGGTAAGTTTATGATTATAATTGTTGAAAATTAAACAACATTGTGGTTCTGTAACTTATTTGTTTAAATTGAATTGAGGTGATAATCAAAATGAGCTGTTAATTGATTATAAAAATAAAGTTTAGTGGAAAAAGTGACAATAACTTTAGTTGAGTGCGAAAAAAAGTTACATGATTTTTAACAATTAACTAAATCATTAAACCTTCATGGAAGCTCAGTAAGTAGATTGAAAATTTTTCTCGATTGTCTATTCAATTAATTTGTTCTTTCTCATTCTTTTGTTTTATTTGTTCATTTGCTTTCATTTATTTAAAGAATGAGTGATTAATCAGTTAATTAATCAGTAAACTAGAAAAAAATGAGTTTATTTAATTCAATTTGAATAACAATCAACAAAAAAAGGAAGATAATTGAGGCAATTGCTTGGAGATCGGGTAAGTTTACTGTTATTTAAAGTTCAACTGGACAATTAATGATTGTAATTGATTGAAAAGAGTTGATTTAATTCAATTTAATTACGCAAGGTGATCCGTTTTCATTGTAATGATCAAGGCAATAGTTTATGAGGCAATAATCAATTAGAGATTCAAGAAAAAAGGAAACAATTACTTGCAAGTATAATTTAGATTATTACAATGATATTTAATTGTCTGATATTGATGATGATTAGATGTCAATATTGTTGAGACTTTGATTTTATCAGCCGTTAATCTAGTGACATTCAGCAATCAATTGTTTAGATTAGATTAACCGATATTTGCCTTAATTAGATTGAAAATTAGTCAATTCACTTAATTGTAGGTAATTTCAATGCTAATTAATGATCTCGATTCAAACTCTCGATGGTTTCTGATGCCAATTACTAGATTAATATTAGTATCATCTCTCAAGTAATCACCATAATTAGATTTGTTTCCTTCGCTTTCACATTTCTCTTAATACCTCATTGCCCTTTCTATTATTTACCCTTCACCTTTCAACTTTCAGGAAATATTTATGTCATTTTCACCAATTGCTGATCGTTCAGATAATTGATTAAAGTCAATTACCAAAGGCAATTGGCTGCAAATATTATCAACATTAAGATAACATTTGTTTCATTTTGATATTTTTTGTCTTAACATTTCAATGAAATGTAACATTGCATTTGTCTTCTTCAAGAAGGTCATCTAAGTGGTCAACATTTCGGTGACCTTTCAAGATGAGTTGTTTAAAGAACACGCAATTAATATTCAAAAGTAATTGATGTTAATTAAATTTCAAATCTACTCGTCGCTTTGAAAGAGCCTCGAGAAAAAGAATCACCAATGAAAACATTAGATTAACTAATTAGGATTATCAATTGTTTGCAATGAGTTTCATCAAATGATAAACTTATATTTGTGACTGTTGAATGATGATAATCACTTCCTTTCATTGTTTTGTAACATTTTCATTGGTGATTTAGACAATTAATTGATGTTAATTGTAACAACATTTTGCTATCGTGATAATCAAACCAGAAACAGTTTAATAAGTCACTGTCACAAACAAATAGTTTTTCCTGATTGGACTATCACGAAATGACAATCAACATGAAAAACTTCATTATAACAATTGGATTATTATTAGAAAACAAGAAAACGTTATTCTTATCATGATAATGAAAGATAAATGTTTCGGTGAATCTATTTAATTAGACGAACAATATTTGATTTAATTAAGATATTACATTTTCTTGTATTTTATTGTTGCCCATTAAAAGTTACTGACAGTGATTGACATACAATTGATATATGATCGAGATTCAAATCAACTTATCGATTTAACAATTAAAAACTAATTAAAACAATTGAAACTCACCAAGGGAAATTATGATGAATGATGTTTACACCTGAAGAATCAATTTGTTTAATTTTCAACGTTAACGGAAATGACGTTATAGTTAATTAAGCAACAGTTTAAGTTACGTTGATGATTATTTGTATTTCCAGGGGAAAATGAAGATGATTAGTTTCTCGTTGTTTTCGCTTTTCGATTGTTTTTTTTAGGCTTAACGTTTAATTTACTTGATTAATTAAACAAAAGTCGATTCAGTCCAAGGAATTGAGATTGGATTGAGTTGTCACTTTGATTGGAAACGCGCAAAATAAGTTTGGATTTTTGTATTACGAAAAAATGAAAGTTAATTAACTAAATTTAGATGAAATTATTATGATGTTGATTGAACAAAATAAAAAAGTAAAACTAGAGCAACAGTTCTCGATTCACTCTTTTCACAACATCAACAGGTAATACAAAAGTAACATTAAGAATCTCTAGTAAAGAATCAACTAGTTTCCATTAAATTGAAAATCGACGAACTTTTCCTGCCATCTGGTGTTTTTTTCTTTCGTTTTCTCTTTTTTGAAATTCCCGCTTTTCGCCTACCTTGAGTTACTATGGAAACGTAAATGTTTTTCAATGTGTTCATTTAATTTTGTCAGAGAAAAATTTTTGTGAAAATTGTTAATAAATTTGTTTTTGTTTACCTAATTTTTTTAAAGTAGAAAGTCGATTAATCATTAATCAGTAAGTATTAATAGTCTTTTGAAAGCTTGTTGAGAGACAGTTTGATTAAAGGTTTGTTGTTTTCTTTTACAGGAATGGGTAAAACGAGAGGTAAGAAACCAGCCCATGAGGGTTTCCAGAAAGGTAATCATTCAATGAATCCTGATCGTCCAAGGGATCCCAAGCAAGGAAACCTTCGGGATAGAGCGACAATCAAGAGGCTATTGATGTACAAAAATTCAAAGCCAATTCGAGATAGAAAGGGTAAAATAGTTAAAGCTGCTCCATTCCAAGATTGGCTTCCATCTGGTAGTGTTTCAAGAATCGCTCCTAACCAAAAATGGTTTAATAACACCAGAACTATAACTCAATCAGCTCTTCAGAGTTTCCAAGAAGAACTTGGGAAAGTCATCAAAGATCCTTACCAAGTTGTTATGAGACAAACCAATCTACCAATCACTTTATTGAATGAAAAATCTAAAAATGCTAATGTTCACATTCTAGACACTGATTCATTTAATAATACATTTGGTAAAAAGGCTCAGCGTAAGAGACCAAACTTGAAAATTAATTCATTGGATGAATTGGTATCAATAGCAGATAAAAAGGCCGAAGTTTATGATGCCGATAAAGACAAAGATTTGGTATCCGAGATTTTTATTCCAAAAGATGAGGTTAGAGAAGCAATAATGAAAAAAGGTTAGTATTTCAATTGCTTTGGTCTCAATTCAAGATCTAATTTCATTTTTGTCTGCCGATCAATTATCAATTTCCAGGTACATCAAGACGTATTTGGGGAGAATTATTCAAAGTTATTGATTCTAGTGATGTTATTTTACAAGTTTTGGATGCGAGGAATCCTATGGGCACTAGGTCACTTCATGTGGAAAAGTTTTTAAAGAAAGAAAAACCTCATAAACATTTGGTTTTAATCTTGAACAAATGTGATTTAGTTCCAGTTTGGGTCACTCAGAGATGGGTCACAATTCTGTCAGCAGAATATCCAACTATGGCTTTCCATTCATCCATTAAAAATCCATTCGGCAAAGGAGCTTTGATTGATCTATTGCGACAATTTGGTAAATTGCATCAAGATAAGAAACAAATCAGCATCGGTTTAATTGGATATCCAAACGTTGGTAAAAGCTCTGTGATCAACGCATTACGAGGGAAAAAAGTTTGTAATGTTGCTCCAATCGCTGGTGAAACTAAAGTTTGGCAATTCATCACTTTGATGAAACGAATATTTCTTATTGATTGTCCAGGTATTGTTTACCCGACTGACGATGATGACACCGATATTGTTTTAAAAGGTGTAGTTAGAGTTGAAAATATAAAAACTCCAGAAGATCATATTGAAGAAGTTCTCAATAGAGTGAAACCTGAATATGTTACTAAAACTTACAAAATCGATTCTTGGACAAATGCTGAAGATTTTCTGTCAAAACTCTGTGAACGTACTGGCAAATTATTGAAAAAGGGTGAACCGGACATTTCGACTGCGGCAAAAATGGTTTTAAATGATTTCCAACGTGGTAAACTTCCGTATTTCGTGAAACCACCAACCTTAGAGACTGATGACAAAAAGGAACCAGAGAAAACAACTCAAGTCACTCAATCAGTTAAGCAGAGACTCAGTAAGATCCAAGTCGAACCTGCTTTCGATGAAGATGATTGTAAAACTATTGTTGAAGACGAAACAGCATATGATTCAGACAATGAAAACGACGAAATTGATGATGACAGTGAAATGGAAGCAATTGAAGAAATCGATGATCGCCCTGAACCTGAACCCGAACCTGAAGAAAAGAGAGTTAAACTAAACAGTAAACAAAAACGAGCACTTGATAGAGCTCAAAAATCTAAGAAAGTCGGTGTTCATTTCTACGAAAACGTTGATGTCAAGAATCGAAGATCTAAAAAACGTAAATCAACTGGATAATCTATTGAATTGTGAATACATGTACATCTAAATTAAAAAATCATCAAATGCCTTCGAGTTCTATCGTAAATTTGACATCAATTTTATCATTTAGTTCTGTCAACATGAAATATTCTTGTCAATGGAATATCATTTGTTTTCATTTGATCGTTATTTCTATTAACGAGAAGTTTTCTGAATAAGGTGATAGCTTTTGACGCATCAAATTAATTATCGATTAATCAATGCAATCGTTGCACATGGACACTCATCTAAATGAAATTTTAAATTTTCATTTTCTTCTTGTGCTTCGCTTCGAGATTGACCATTACTGTCTCGAAATGTTCAACTTGTTCAGATTTTGTTTAATCAGTTTTGTTGAGTAAACTTTTCTTTACTTTGAAGTGTTTGTTTGCCTTTTTTATGCTTGAGAATAAATAATTATTCATTAGTATTAATCATCCTTTTAATGAACATTTGATTAAGTTTTATGGTTTATGCTGTTAGAATTACAAAAACTAGATTTAAATCTTTTCATGAAAATTTCTGCAAGATTATCGCTTAATTATTAAAATTTGATTAAAATGCGTCCATCATTTAGTATGCACATTTACATACAGTAGGGAGCATAAAAAATGACATTTTGGGTTACTTTTTGACCGGGAAAAATAAGATTACTTTTGTTTAAATTAATTGCAACTAAAATATCCGAAAGCAAAGGATTAACTGTTTAGTTAATTTTGGGCAAAATTAGATCAGAACTTTTACCTAAATCGTGTGTTTATTATGTCTAATAGCGATTCTAAACAACGGATCGAATTAGATTTTTCCAGAGAGTCAAGTCGATGCAAAAGCGATACAATTTCCGTTCTGGTCTATTTTCATTTGGTCTCGGCATTTGTCGGATTTTCACTTGTGAAATTGTCACTTTGGAACAAAAATTGACGTTAAAAGATGAAATGAGCTATAAGAACATGAAGTTAAATTAGTATTGATCATTTGGTGTCTTGCAAGTAGAAAAGAAAATTAAGGAAAGATGAAGATATGGGTCATTTAGAATGGAGAAGAAACTCCAGAGGGAAGGTGAGCCTGTTGAACAGAGAATCTTGATATTAATGGAATTTCCTCAGAGGGAATCACATAAAGTGAAACAAATTAACTTTGCATATCACTTGCAACTTCATAATTACTAACACTTTATCGAATTGAATCTGAGGTGAAATGAACAATTTAGGCTGAATCGCAACTGATTGTTTTCTATCAGGTTATCACTTCCAATTCTCTTGTATTTAAGTTCTGCTAATGTTATTTTACTGACCAATCAAGTGCTTCAATTGTCACTTACGGAAATTTTCTTTACTTTTTGATAATATAAGAGAAAAGAAACTCGAATCCATAATTTTCTTTCAACTTAGGTATTTTTTGAATGAACTTTATTTTACTCTTTTCGATAATTCATTTATACAGAAAGTGCTGATTTAAGTCATTTCTGATTCTCTTAATTTCGAGCTACTGTAATCTCGATGAAAGCATGAAACTAGAACTTGAACAGTGTCGATAACAATGGAAGAATCGGATTAAATTACACTTTGAATAGAAAAAATTGATGAAAACTAAGATTTTCTCAATGAATTATTCAAATTGCTCGATAAATACTTTGTATTAGAAGATGTGACGAACTCTGATGAGAGTTTGGACAAAAGGGACTCGACTTGGATTAAACTCTGTTCATCAAATATCAATTCATAATCAAAATTTATCATGTTTATGATAAACATAGTTACGAATTTTCCTATTGATATAAACACGAATATTCAATGAGAAATATAATCACAGAATAAGAAATTTACTCATGTTTCCATAGGTTAATAATCGGATTAAGCTACGATTTTTACTGTTGCATTTATCTTAATACAAAATGTATATTTTATTTTCAGAGGATTTAATTTCCTTAGTAATGGAGGGAAAACACCATGGAGATGACAATCGAAGGGTCGATGAGTATCAACTACTTTATAATGGATTACATAGGTACTATTACAATTTTCGATATGAACTTTTGAACATATTAAATATAGAGGCTATCGAGTGTTCGCTTTATATTTTTCTTACATTGTTACAATTTATGCGAAATTTTATCATCATTAATTCATAAGCGATGATATTATGAGTAGAAAGATCCCAAGATATTTCCATTGAAAGCTAATTATGAAGAATTAGATCTGATGGTTCTAAGTAAAGTCGACGAAGAAGGGAAATCGATACTCATTCAGCTCAATTGATGTTTGCACGATTTTCTTGTTTTTTGTTTTGTAATTTCATTTTAATATCACCAACATTCTGAGGTGAACTTTTCACTCTTGAAACTAGACTTTTGAAATCAATTTGAAGAACCTCATGTAATTCATGAATTGAATTAATTATTTACTTTGCTGCTGAATAATTATACAGATTTTCTTGGTAGAATATCAAGAAATGAACTTAACATGATGAAGATGCATCACCAGAGTCTCAAGTGTAAAAAGCTACATGGTGCATCTTTATTCACAGGTCTTGACATGATCATCTTAACACTACGAAGACCTTTATTTCCTATTTGAGACACTTCATAAATCTAAATCCGGAATCTGAGTTTGGTGAAAAAAAACTGATCACTAGGATTATTTTCACGAGAAAGAGATTGATTCAAATAAAATTGAGGATTGGTATGAATTGACAATGGAAATGAAGGAAAATCGGTGTATCTTCATCATTATCATCACCCGTTTAACATGAGCAATTTTGATTCAAATTTATCGAATATTTCAAATTCCTAACGAAAACATTAATCATCTAGAATAATTCAATATTTTGCTTTTCATGACAATGATGATCTTCATGCAATAATAAGAAATAACTTTTATCATTCTCGGTTTCTTTGACTCAATACTAACTAAATGTGAAGATTCAACGTTTAATCTAATACAAGAATAAATATCCTTCGGATAATCATTATCATCTAACTATGAATTATGTTGATAACAATTAATATTTGTGTAACTTTGATGATCTTACAAAACAGAAATTGTTATGAATATTTAGTATTATCAACATCGTCATTAAAACTATTAATACAATCATATTGAGAGAAGCAACATTTTCTTTGGCCACTTCATGTAGACTTTAATTACTAAAACAATTTGATATATTCATCTAATCATTTTACTAAGTTTTATTGACTTGAAGTAATATGAGAATTGTGAGTTTGAATAGTAACTTTGTTTTGCTTATTAGTTAATGTATCAAATGATAATATGTTTTATTTTGTTACTTTTATTGTTGATTTATCTCATTGTTATTATTATGATGATTGCTTTATTAAAGACAGATTAACACACCATTACCTGTATTTCTGTTATCAACATAATCATCAAAATAATATTCTTATCAATAATATGCAAAAAAGAAAGAGAATCGTTGTGATATAATATAAAGAGGGTATGCAACTTGTTAGGAATTAGGTATGCACTCTATAGGAATGGAAATATGAAAACAATTGTTTCACTCGGTCTGTATTTCTGGTTGTTCAGAATATGAATACATATGAAGGAGATACAAATTCAACAAATACACACGCACACTCTGGTTTATGCAATTTTCATATCAACAGATCCATTGAGAATTGTGTGAAAAATGTTTTCCTCTTCTGGGTTAGACACGCAAAGGTGAGAAAGGTACGAGAAGGAAGAAAGTGGATGATGAAAAAAGAAATAATCATAATAAATAAAAAAATTCTCTTTTTCTCTCTGATAAAAAAAATAAGAGTAAAAGTCATAACAATCTCGATTTTCGGTAAGTCCTCTGATTTATTCCATTTGCCTTCTGTACTTTGATTGCCCACTGAAATTCTTCGATAATAATCAGTTCGTAATTCAGTCCAGAATACATTTTGTAAGATGCTAAAAATACGTATGTAAGTTTGTAGAATTGGATCAAGGTTCGATAATTGCCAATTAGAAAACATTATTTCGTGAGATGAAAACAAAAATCAATCAGGTGTCTTATCAACAATTAGCTCATAGCTCTTTATAATCTCTCTGATTTCGATCGTTCAAAACTTCAATCGATTATTTTCACAAATAAATGAGTGAAATCGTTGCAAGTTCAATCCACTGGGTGAGTGTTTCGATTGTAAACTGATTCAATTTGATTCTTCAATGATTGTTAAATGTTGCAAAACTTTAGTTAATTTAAAATAGGAATCAATTTGAATCAGATCATAAATTTGGTTGGCTAAGATAAACAAGAGAATTTGATATAAAAGTAAATGTAACCCGAAAATAAGGAAACAATAAGGTAAAAGGGAAACAGGAAAAGGGGAGAAAATGATAAAGATGGGGATGAATAAAAATAGCTTTGTAAAGGGAATGAAATATTTTTGAGGTAACAGTTATGGAGGAGGAAAAAGAAAGGTAGAGATGAGGATGACGAGAATGATGAGGATGATGAGGATGCTATAAGCAGGATTATCCTTGGGAGTGAAAAGCAAGAAGAGAGAGAAAAAGAAAGGGAATGAGTAGAACTCGGAGCATCATAGCATCTCAATCGATATTCAATATCGATCCACGCATACTCTTTATCTTCATCTTTTTATCTCTTTATCTTCTTTCTTTTTCCTTCGTTTTCAGAATAACATCTTTTTCTGTCTTCTTCTTTTCTGGTTTTGTCTCTCCTTAGGCTGATGCTTCTATCCACAGGTTGCTAGTCCTGGTTACAATGTCTTTTCCTCCATGACTACTAATACATTCATCTCTTCCTCTCTTTCTCTCTCTACCTCCTCACTCCACTCCCACTTCATCTTCTTTCCCTTTCTTCTCATCCTTTATCTTCTTCGTCATCATCATCTCTCCTTCTATCTTCTCTTACCTTTTTCCTCGAATACCTTGAATTCGCTTTTGAACACAAGATTCACCTCATCCGAATGTCACTTGAAAAGGTATTCAAATTAAAAACATAATATAAATACCAACAATAATTCAATTCATCACATTATTTTCTGCATCTGCAACAAATAAACAAAGAAAATGTTTCTTTCCATC